ATTACACACATACACACTAACCCCGATCATTGAGAAGGAGGTACTCCTCTACTTATTCTAGTCATTGCATTTCATAAAACACATTATTATTACTTTAGGGACCTTTGAGTTTGAATCCCAAACTTTTCTCTCCTCCGACTCCTAAACTCCGATTCTTTCACTCCTTATGAGTGTTTCAAACATTTTTCAAGTGTGAAGAAAATAACGGCTCAAAAATAGCAGATCATCTCATCTGCCATTACTATTAAGTGTCATTCCCTAAGGATATACTATTTTTTTGGGATGCATTATAAATACTATCAAAAGTCTACTAATGTTTAATATAATGGGGGATGAGTTTGACTATAGAAAAGAGAGAGAGAGAGAGAGAGAAAGTGAATACAAAAGTCACTCACAATAATAAGATTAATGCGATCTTCTATTGTGGAAGAGAGCCATAGATAGTGGAGGGAAATAGAAGAGTGGCGGAGAAAAAAGAGGAAAGAAATGAGAGGAGAGAGAGAGAGAGAGAGAGAGAGAGAGAGAGTGGAAGAGATGGCTCAGTATTTTACTCTAAACACTAACTCATTGTTTGTCCCTTTTTTGAGTGCTTTTATCGAAACAAAAAGCATTTTCTCGCGTAAGAGAACAAAACTTTTGGGCAGAACTCAGTCTCCCTTTCCCTCCACTATCTATGGCTCTCTTCCACAATAGAAGATCGCATTAATCTTATTATTGTGAGTGACTTTTGTATTCACTTTCTCTCTCTCTCTCTCTCTCCCATTGCTCTCATTCATTGACTCCATTATTAGGTCTCACTCACTGTAATCTTATCTAATCTGCACAACGAAGTCACAAAAAATAGTAGTAAAACAATATTAATGAACTAAAATAATATTGTTTGCCCTCTTGAACACACAACCACTGACTGACTGCCTGTCCAGCACTGGTCCTCCTCCTAATGGGCAATTAATTGCCTCTCTCTTTAAGCCTAACAATTATTATGCATTTCATCCATATTTAACGAAAACTTACTATAATTGCAATGAATGTAAAGCACAAAAAATTGTAATTATGTGATTAATTAAAATTATAATTCAATATTTTGTATACTATTATAATTATTAATTAGAATTTAGAGTTTATATAAAATAACAAATTGTGGACAAATTAGACACCGAGTATTAATACTTGACTTTTAATGGTTAATATTTATTCCAGTTTAAACTTTGAAGGATTATATAAATTGCAATTAATGTTAACGAACTTCTCTTCAAATTCACAATAATTGCCTCTAATCTCAAGTGTTTTAGTGTCCAAAACATTAATACTTAATTATGCAAATCAAACAACACTTTCATATATACTGTGTTAAACTCCTTTGGATTTAATATATTTATAAAATTATATAATTAAACTTATGTTTAATATAAGTAACTCTTTAGAATATAATCATTAAAATTGAAGTATTTTTGTATAAAATTCAATTTAAAATTATTAATATACGTATTAATATATGTATAATACATTATATATTTGCATAATATTCTGTTATAATAGAGATAATGAGATAATCATTATAAACATCATATCTATAGTTTATTTGTTAATTACAATGTATATTTATAAATTAATATAAATTGCTTTAAAAATAACTTTTATAAATTTTAAAGTGAGTTTATATCTGATTTTATAATATATAGTTTTAAGTAAAATTAATGAATATTTTAATAACAAAGCGGATTAGCAAATAATGAATTTAATCCTTATTGAGTGTAATTAAAAATAATAAAATAATTGCCGGCAATTAATTGCATAATTTATGTTTACATAACATAATTATCCAAATGCTTAGCAATTAAATGATAATTTTTAAAGTGTACTTTAAAAATATTTATTCAGACATGGATTAAAGTAATTATACCAAAAATGTTGTCTCGCATTAAGACATTAGAGCCAACAAAAGCATCAAAAAGAAAATGTTTGTATCGATTGACAAATTTTTGTTTCGCAAAACTTATAATTTTTGAAGAAATGAAAATTTTGCACATATATTGTGCGCAAACGGAAACATTTATGAGCATTAATTTGAATAAATAAAAAGTGAAACGAGTCATAAAACTTAAATTAATGCATTTATCATATGTCTGGCCATTAATTTTATGTAATTTTATTTTGCATTAAGAATTGTCATAAAAATGCAAATCAATACACAGTATGTCTCGGGAGACATGAATGGCATTAAAAGTTATGCCTTTTACTTATGAGCGAAGGTTTAATTTAACACATCCTTAGCTTTACATTGGATTTAACCAAAGGGGAGCTCCAATGGAGGGCAATATTACCTCAATATTTAATTATTTTAGACATTGAATTGTATGTTAACTAATTTAAATGCAAAAAGTTAGTACTCTGTTGTAATACAAGTATAATTTAATGATAACAATAAGGGGTAAATCAGGCATTAAATGGTCAATTCTAGGCACCCCTTGCTTTACCCAATAATTTCTATTAATCGTTAAAAATACTTCACATAAAACTCACAAAAGAATGCAAATAAATTAGTGAAGAAATAAAGAAATAAATTTGAATTTCAAATTAACACTAATTTCTGTGCTTTTCTTTGAGTTTAAGGAAGACTACTATAAACTATTTGAATGCGAATCAAGAATAATATGGCCATTGAGTTGAGAGACGTTTTGCTATAAATTATGCCTTAATTCTGGTCTAAATAATAGAGATGTGAGATATAAAGTAGTGTTTAATAATTAAACACATTTTTGTCTTCAATAACATAGAATTATGTGTTATTAGTCGTAAATCCCACTAATATTTAATTTTATTCTTTAAATACTAACAACCCTTTCATTGTTTTTGTACTAATTCTTTAATAAATTAAACTTTTTATTATAAAATAATTTAATTTTAAAAACATTAAAATTTATTGAATCTTAGATTTTAATTAAAATATATAATAATATTAAATACGGAAAAGAAAACAATTTATAAGATGTATTTTTAAAGCCAATATTCAATATTGAATTTAAGCCAAACATTTAAGAAAAATTTTGGTTTTTGCAAAAAATAATACAATACAGCGGAGGATAAAAGCATTTTCAGTGTCGCTTCCAAACCAAACCCAATACTATTCTTATGTGTAATAAATGCTGTTTTCAGACAGACTTTCTATTATGTGTTGTATAAGAAAAGTTCGTATAAATTACACTACAATTCTTGAGAGAGAGAGAGAGAGAGATGAATAAAAATAATTCTGGTAATAGTATACGATATGTATATAAAAGGGAAAAAGCATTTGAATTGAATGATCGGTTATGGAATGGAAAGTAAGAATTGTGTTATTGTTTGACAGACGAGTAAATGGATTGCAAGCACTGCACACAACAGATCCGAAAACCTTTTTTAAACACATAAAAGATTTATATTTATTACTGACTCTAACCGTTAGAATTGATTTATAGTTATTTATTGTCAAACAATTCACTTTCACTCTTACAATGTGTATAATATTTGTTGGGTAATCAAAGTATTGTACCGTTAGTTTGCATCACTTATAGCCCTCTTATTTCTGATAATGAATTCTGGCTTTTATTTTAACAATTAATTCATTTTGGGCTAACAATAAGATATCTCTAAATAATTCAATTTATTCATTATTCACGCCATTGTAATCAATAGATTAATTAAGAAATGCTGGCAATTCTGTATACATTACTCTTACTGTTATTTAATAGAAAATGCAAATAAGAGTAAAATGAAAAAACAAAACCCATTGAATGAGTGTATCGTTTGGTAAACCATTGAACTGATTGGATGCTAACAGGAGTATAATCTCCGGGTCTATCAGTGATATACACGTTGTTTTGGGTTTTCTGGATGCGAACCTTTGCAGCTGTCCTTAAAAACAGTAGAGATTATAGTTTGATATATACTTTGAGTCGCTTTCAGGTCAGAGCCTATCAATCGAAATTCACATATCAGTTGGAAAGAGAGAGAAATCGTGAGTCTAAAACATGGTAAACATACTTATATAATATTCACAATCTGTTTGGCGATAGCTTTCACTAGTATTAAGTAATAATAGCTCACAAATAAAGTGCTTTTTATAAATTATTGACAGAAATGTGTTTGCATTTTGTTTTATTAACAAATATTCTTGGATTAAGAGTGGATTCCGTGGACAAGGATTACGGAACAAATGCTTTTGTATTAACAAATTCTGTTATGTATTCTGTATATAGAGTGATGAGAAGAGACATCCACTCAAACATAGAGACAAACAGTATTACAAAACACGAGCAGATGATGGCGAAGGAGAAGAAGTGCTTTTTATCGGTCACACAACTAAACACTAGTTTTAAATGTATAGCCATTCGTATCGATTAATGCATCGCTAACTCCGAGAAACTCTATTTCAGATGAAGTGATTGTGTGTTATGTTAGAGATAGGAGTGAGACATGAGATGCAAGAATGACTGTCAGAGCAGTAAAGACAGGTAACTGTACAGAGCTTGCAGTTATATACAGTATTGTTCGCCGGCTTTTATTTGATAACAAGCGTCAGCGTCACGAACACAGCGGCCGACCTCTCTCTCTCTCTCTCTCTCTCTCTCTCTCTCTCTCCGACAGTATTGTATACCAGTTGTCACAAGCACTACATGTCTAACTATTTTTCGACAAGAATTCAGTCATAAATGAGTAACAGAGTAGACATTTCTTTGATTATTATTTCCCAATCGATTCAAGTGTTGCGAAAAGAAATATAAGAAACTATTTTAAGCTATAAATGTCTTGTAATTATTTGGTACAGAATATATCGATAGATAGATATAGTTTAATATAGCATTAAATAAATATCATATCGATTGGGAAATCTATCTCATAATTATGTAATATCTCTTTATTAATAATATACTCGTAACAGTAATAATAAACATAATTTTAATAAATTGTAAAAGCATTTATAAACAACAATAAAACATGATTGGTTTATAAATTGAGGTAAAATTGAGTATATGTTTGTAAATCACAATAAATTAATATAAAAATATTTACATAATCTCTTATTTTGTGCGAACAAATGGCCAAAACATTGACCGCTAATTATTTTTAAGATACGCTTCGAAAGCTAAAATGAAACTATTGCCGGCTTTTCCGCAATTAGTTCCCGAAGTCTTTCCCAATGAGGTCTTCATTTGGTCTAAAATAAGGGACAAATCAGTGCCGAACTTATAGTCGTGAAAAGCCTGATATACGGCCCTAAAGGCCGGCTGTTTCTCGTTTAAAAAGACTCCTCTATTGCCGTGTAATATACGAATGCCATCCTTTTCGGCCGCTTTGCAAACGCGTGTATATATGCAGTGATCGGGTCTGTAGTTCCAGTCGCAGCCAAATATATATAATTTGTCTGATATTGAGAATAAAAACAATCATTTATAACAACTAAAGAGATATAACATAACTAGCAATTGATCCAAACCGGTGTTGTAATGAAAGATAATGTTAATGATGTCCTGATCGCCCCAAACGATATTCAGTCTGTATTGAGCCAAATAGGGCTCCAAATAGTCGGTCCAATGAAAGTCTCGCATTCGGGTTAAGTTCATGAGCATAACGCCGGAGTTGACGCCCAACCGCTCGACGTACGGGTGTTTCGCAAACCTATAGTACCAACTGCTGGCAAAGTCCTCACTCTCGGGAGACATTGCGGCCATTTGTGTGGAATTCATTCGTTCAAAGATACTCCACATTTGGTCCACTGGTGTCAGGAACAGGACATCGGTGTCCACATAGAGAACCGAATCAATATCTTTTAGTATTGTCTGCAAAGAGGGAAACAATTTCACTATAAAAACGACTAATCGATATCTTATGGCATTTAAGGGTCAAAAAGTGCATTTACCGGAAGGAAAAGTCGCTGAGCGGCGCATAATTTAAATAGTTTTCTCCATTCCTCGACATTAACAGTGTTGGGAAACGACACCAAATGGATCTCAAATGATATTCGGCTTAAGATCTCTTTTGGCCACTCATTCAATATCTAAAACAACGCAAACAACAAATGGTTGCATAAAAAACAATGTCACAGATTGTGATCAAATCATATGACATACCGATCGCCCCATTATTTTCCGGTTATATTCGTCGGACATAACAATGAAATGAAGTCTACTTTTGGTCAGAATTGCCGCCGATTTCAATGTAATCAGACTTTGTTTAAGCGTTTCATTCCCGCAAACAGTGATCACAATCTTCATAGTCTTGCTGTCAAAGCCGCCAAACCTATGACACAAACAGTGAGACAAAACCATCACTTTCTTCGCGCACATCAATACCTAACGACAGGCCTCTTGTAATGTCGGTCGTCATCGGGGGTGAGATCATTGGTTTCGACGTCCACTTCGTTATCACCATTGAGATCAGCTCTGATTCTGTGGATAGTCTTCTCGGTGTCCGTTTTGGCACCAATTGAGCCATTATTTTGAGCCAATGAGCGGTGAGTGGACTCTTCGGCGGTCGCTTTGATCCACACTTTATTGGCCGACGAATTGGCGGACAGATAGGCGGCGACTCTGACCGGCGATGACTTCTTCGGCGACAGTTTATCATTGATTACAAAGAGGTATACAAATAATATGGAGATTAATAAACACAAGAGTTTGAGACACAGGAAAGGCCTGTAATTGTTGTTGAATACGAAAAATCGCATTAATTTCCTCAAAATCATCGCTTTTTGTATTCAATTGATGGCAAAAAACTCATTGTTTTGTTTCAATTGTTTGTTTTTTCTCGCATTCAATGAAACTGTGATTTCAAATATGTTGTCAACAAATGAATCCCTTATGACATCACTTACGACAACAACAACACTATTGCCATAGCATTGTGTTGTCTCCGCACGAGTGGCGCCCCCTCTCTGGCCCTCCCTCTCAATACAGGCTTTGTTTAACCCATTCGTTATGCAATGGCTTTGGTTTTGAGCGCTTATTTCAAACATTTCGTATCATTTTGTTTGAAATACTTTTATTTTTAATGCTGTTTAAGAACTTATTATAAACTTTTATTTTACAATCAAAACTGTGGCTAAAAATTACAAATTACATAGATATGTATAAACATAATTAACTAGGTTAACTTTCGCATTAACAAAGTGTATAAAACTTTTTAATTATGTATAATTTGGTGACAAATATATAACGGGATTAATTTAATTGTCCTATAATTCAATTCAATGTTTATTTTGTGCATTAATTTGTGTCGAAACGGTTTGAGTGAATACCGAGTTTTTGGTTCAACTGGTCGTCGATTAAGACACCATTTCGTGACAATTGGGAAATGATTTCTTGATTTGAGTGATTGTTTTCAACAATATTTCTGATGGCAAATATAGACCATTGCATTATATATGGATTCTTGGCGTCTATATTACAACAATCAAGTATTACGGGAATGCCATCCAATTCGCGGACCCAGTCCTGCATTGGCGCACATTTGTAGACCAAATTCCCAATCACTCGGATTAAGTCACGCTTGAAACCAAACACCGGGTTCTGAGACTCGCCATCGTTTTCATCGACTTGTTTTAATTGCGGCATTGATTTGAAATGAGACGAGTCTTTTGTTTTGGACAACAATTGTATTGTTTTCAGTGTATTAACCAAACACTCAATCAATTGCCTATCGCTTTGAAAGCGAGACAACAAGTGCTCATTTGTGGTCAATTCACACAAAATGGACAACAGTTTGGTTATATGAATGGCATTGTATTTGTTTTCTTCGGTTTGTTTGTCATCCGTTTGGGAATCAATGGCGAAGACTTCGGAAATGCTTTGTTTAAAGAGTTGACACAAATAGTCAACATTTGTGTCATTTAACGCATTTTCAGTACTTTTCATATCATTTTGATTAGTTATCAACTCATAGATTATGTCCAGAATAATGAGCTTTTGTTTCATTTGAAATCTATTGTAAAAGCACTGAAAAAAGTTCTTGTATTTGAGGAATATATGCAAAGACCAGAGACACCATTCAGACGATGAGCTCTCGATTTGATCCAACATTAGCTCAAAGATTGTCAACATATTCACGAGGTCTTCGGTTCGGTTGGTTTCAAACAAATTGTTTTCAATATCACTATTATTACGAATACATGAGTAGAATATCATACTCGAGACCAATACCACACTCTTGTCGTCTTCGAAGTCCAATAAATATCTTAAATAATAATAAAATAAAATATTAATCAAAAGACAATCATTTGTTTGCTTTTGTAAATCAAATACCGAAACAATTCAAACGCTAATAAACTCCAGATTTGATGTCTTATGGAAGACAACTCATCGATTGTCTCATCCAAACCACTCAAGAGGTTCGCGATGTACTGAAGACAACATTTGATGGCCTGAATTAATGACTGTTTATAAGTCAAGTCGTTGTCATCACATCTCTGGACAGCTTTATAGCAACCGATCACACGTTTCAAGACATCAATGCTCAACAGTTGTTAACTAGGTAACCACTGTTATGTCGCGAACAAACCGTATGTTAAGTGATTACTTAACGCATTGTTAGCCTTCTCAACCCGCTAACAGAACTCATTGCACACCAGCTCACCCTCGCAATTGTCTGGCGAGCGGATCAAGTGGTGGTCAATCCGTGTCAACACATGTGATATAATGAGCCAATGATTGTCGTCGAGACTCAAACGGATCCGGTATTCCTCCTCTTTCAACGCGTCGGTAATGAGCTGTAAATTGCGGTCAACTGTTGGCCAGTCGTCCGAATTGTCTTCAATGGCAGCGAACCAGTTGTCCATCACTTGTGATCACTGATCGGATCCAATGTTTTGCACACAAAACAGATGTAAACATCAAAACACGTGAATATATTGTCTGCAAATAGAGGTCACTATAAATGTGGCAAAACTTAAGCCAATGTTTAATGCATTGAATTCTGGTCTCAAGTGATGCCAATTCTTTGCGATAACTTTTTGATTGAATTATTTATGAATTCATTTAATACTTATTTAATTATACATTAAACACATTAAATGCACAAATTGTTAGTTTAAAAAATGTTTACAATTCAATAATTGTCTTAAATTTATTTGAAAAACACTGAACGAGATCTCAATAATAATTATATTAATGACAATTTTGGATACATTTAAAATACCAGATAAACTGAATTGAAAGCACAATTTAATATCAAATCAATTAACTCTTTGGTCATTAGAAATGCTTTATCTATTAAATTTGGTGCTAATATTGTCTGTGTTTGTGAACAATGTTTTGAGTGATCAGAAGAGCCAGAAATACAATAATATGATTGAATTGAAGACAAAAAGTGTAACATTGGGTACGGAATCGAAACCAATCGGCCGTTCAGTTAACGACTCGAGTCTTACGACCGCTACTACTATAACATCGACGACAACCGAAAGCCCTTCAAAGTCGGGCCACAATTGGGTTTATTGGGTAATAGTTATAGTCGTTGTTATCCTAATAGTGGTTGTAATCAAATTAATCGTATGCTGTCTTTGCTGTTAGTTACATCGACGACAACCGAAAGCCCTTCAAAGTCGGGCCACAATTGGGTTTATTGGGTAATAGTTATAGTCGTTGTTATCCTAATAGTGGTTGTAATCAAATTAATCGTATGCTGTCTTTGCTGTTAGTGTTATTGTGAATATAAATTAATCATAATTTATAACATAGTTGTATAAATTAATGTGAAGTTGTATTTCAGGTCCCAATAGAGCGTCAATTATGTAAATTAATTCCCGCATCGATTTCTCACTCTCTTATCACTACAACCAAAGTTTTTATTAAATTTTGAAGCAATTCATCGGTCTTTCAATTAAATCGCATGATTTTTGTTGTCATAAAAATGTATTTTGTGTTAAATTCATATTCTGTTTGTAATTCATTTTATTATTCATAATAACCCAAATGTAAGCCACAAAAAGACAAATTCTTTGCCTAAAAAGACAGAAATAAATGAGCAAAAAAAGAGGGGAAAAGAGTATTATAATTATGCTTTAATAGGATTTGATGGCAAAAGCAAATGTAAAATAATATGACATAATAATTGAATAATCAATAAGAAGTGGGTTTGAAATGCAATGCATTTTAAATAGCATTTGTTGTCATTAAGAGAGCATTAAAGCATAGGTCGGAATCATTCATTAAATGATGATTTTCTCTGTTATATAAACTCCTAAATTATGTTTAATATTAAGTGCACAACAAAACACAACCAGAGAGAGAGAGAGAGAGAGAGAGAGAGAGAGAGAGAGCACAATATTTCCAACAGTCCCTCCAAATAATAAGTTTATAAATCATTTTTAGAAACAAAAATCGTTTTTTCCTGATTTAATCCAAAATGTAAGCCAAATATGTGTTATATAATAGAGATTGTGATAAAAATATAACTATTGCCAACCAATAGAGGCACTAATGTTTTGAAAACAATAATAATAATATAATGGTCTGCATTTGATGTTAGACTATATATTTAATCAATTTAGTTAACATTTGGCTTATCATAACTCGATGGCTGGTCTCAAGAATAAATTGAAGA